CGCGCATTTCACAACAAAAGCAAATCATCTCTGGTCTTTAAAGAGTCCGGATCCACAACATCTGACAGCCCAAATAACACACTCGTGTGCGGTGTGATCTTCGATTACTACTATGTTTGCGCGTTCTCCCGATCTATCAATAACAACCAGTCTCATTCCAAGCTACTTGCTGCTCAGTGTTGCCATTTCGCTCACAGTTTTAGTTAGACTGAATTTTGTACCGCTTCTACGCGACTAGCCACCAGAATAACTTTTTTTTTGCAGATAGGACACAATGGCTCTTACCTGCAGCGATATTATCAAATTCCTTTTCGCTGTTCTTCTGCCGGTGAGTGCTTTTTTTTCTCCGCTTACGTTAAACTACGTCACTGCATTATTGTTCTTTGCTGATTCTGGCCATACTGGTTGTACAAAGAACGAAGTATTCTCTGCAATCGATGATAGAGGATCTGTTCATGAAGTTTTGGGGTTCACGATTTAGGAGAACGGCCAGTAGAAAAGGCCTACATTGCAGAAGAATAAACTATTTCAATACTAGTGCTAGCAATTTCCAGTTTCCAGCAAATTTCGACTTGCAAGAAAGAGGGTGTACGAGTTGCTAAGTAGTTATTTGACATTATTTTCGCCCATGTCATTATTATCATTATCATTATCATTATTTATTTGTCAATTATGAACAATTACAAATTGCGAAATAGTTAGAACTAATATCCATAATGTTCCAAAATTAAGGTTTGTTATATCCTAGAGCAGGTACTGCAGTACAGAAGAGATTTAGCTAGAGGGTAGAGTAGACTTGGCTTTGTAGACCATACCATACTGACCAGCAACAGCGCCCTCTTCCATATCCGGGTCATAGGGACGACGTCATATTCTAGGCAAAAAGTTGGGCTATTCAATTAAATCGTCGAGCCATCTAGTGTTGTTCAAATTTAACAATCTTTTACCTAGCCTTGGTAAAGAAAACTGTCTGTCTTGCAAAAACTGTCTATCTTGCTTAATAACGGTTACTTTCCAAATCCTTTGACATGAGCAACGGCTATGAACAGTTTACACATCGATGTAGAAGAATCAAGGAATACGTTTATCTTAGCCAAGATCTCTGGTCTCAGAAAGGCTAGAATTTTTTTTTGATTTACAACTAGGCACTAAGAAATCGCATGTAGTTTGAAGGAAAGGCGCTAGCAGTAAGGAAAATTGAAACTTGAGCATCTAAGCGAATTTTTTCTTCGAAAATTAATATGGAAAGAGCGAGGCACGGAAGAATTTACTGTCAGGATTTATTTGGCTACAGACTGCTTGACGAGATAGTAGCAACTTTGCTAAGGTGTTATCATCTCTCATGGGAATAGTGCCATGGAAAACAGCCTTACAGAAACATTGCTCCATCAAAACCGAAAAGAATTGTTGTCGGAAATTGAATTTTGCGCAAAAATATGTTAATTTCCAACAAAAAGGTGTTGTTGAGTCGACGTTGAACTTCTCCGGTCACGGCTCCTTCTAGTCCTGATAAGGGCACTGAAACACGTTGGTTTAGCTTCTGTACTATGAAATTCCAAGCGACTTTTACCAGCTCACTCACCTCGGCAAGGGAAGGGGACGTTACGACCAGTGTCGCAGCAGTGAACCCCAAACACTGCGAATCTTAACTTCTCCCTCAGCCGAGGCTCGAACCGGTGCCTGTTAGACTGAAAGTCTGGCACTCAGTCAACTGAGCCATTGAACGCGTACGCACATAAAAAATTTGATCTATGGGTGATAACAGTGTCTTCGCCGCAGAGCCATCACTGATCAATCGCAATTTCCTCAAACGATGGTGTGACGGATAGCTC